TAAACAAATGTATACAAATTTGTTAGATAAATACAGATCACTGGATATAGAGATGAATATAGTGTATACCTATGTAAAATTAGAAAGTTACTAAATCAAATAAATGTATACCAATTTATTAATGAACACAGACGAATATATTAAGTGAATATGGATTGTGTTTCACACCATAACTTCTAGCAAACAATTGAGGAAAATAATTTATAGGTGGTAGACACAATAATATCTTTGAAAGAAGAAAAGTCATAATTATATATCTTTTGCTAATTTTAAGGACATTTTGCCAGTTTTAAGAAAAAATGATTGGAAGTTAGAGAAATACCTACTATATACCTATATCTTTTAGTACTATTTTACGGGGGGGAAATTGAAGAGAGAGATGAGTGTGAATAGAAATTTTCTCCCCTATTTTTGGGCAGAATATAGTTTGCTAAATATTTATTTGACCAAAACATACCAACTTAATCTAAAAATTGTAGGTACATGTTAATTCCTTTTTTTTTTTTAAAGGATTTTGCTTTTGTACGTTTAGTGGATGTTTGGTTTATGTCCTAATTATGCATGCTGAAATTATAATACATAATTATTTAATCTGTAAATAATAATAAGGGATTGTTCTTTTTATATGTGATGAATAAAAGTTTATAGATCGTTGTTATAAAATGAGTAACAACACATGGATTGTTAAGTAGAGATTACCTAATTTAAGGGTATCGTTTGTCTTAGATACACTAACCACTTATTATTAATACACACATATTCTTATAGTCACATCTCTCTTTTGTAACACATCCTTGTATAAGAAATATCAAAATTAGTAAGTGAGGTTCAATATTGTAACCATTGTTTTATTCTATATAATAGTTAGAAGAATTAATTTAACTAGTTGTTCACCCAATTGATTAAATTTAAAATATCAATAAATACACAATTTATATATAATAAGTGTATGGTCATAAATAATTAGTATATACAAGCTAAACAAAGTAGATATTAAAATTGTCCGATTATTTACATGAAGATCCCTTTTAGTTATACAAACGTCAAATGACAAAGTAGTATGATATTTCTAGTTCTTCATTATTTTCTTGATAGAATCTTTGTCTCTATCACTGTCCTTTAGATTACGACTTACAACAGTGTAAACACTAACTTGGGAAGCAAAGACAAGAAAAAAGGTAATTGCAAGATTTGACTTAGCATGCAAGTTGTTTGATCATATGTACCTTTTGAGATTTTGGACAACACCACATCGAAAACAGGTTTAGATAATTTATTAATTTCTCAAATATTTTATTTGTATTAAAAAATTTATTAAACATATGCGTTTATCAAGTTTAGAATCTAAATATGAGCACTTCAAAATCATCATTCTAAAATTCATAACTCATAAAAATTAAATTAATTTATCACCACTTGAAAACAACATCATTGTAATAGTCGTTGTATTCGTGTGGACAAGTTGTTGGGTGTCCACACACCATCATTTAAATAGCAGAAACTTCGCAGATTTGTGGGGACTTATTGTACTTATATACTTTTCTACAAGTTGATCGTATACTTTTTGCAAACCAAATACCATATGACGGTGTACTCAAATATATTTCTTGATTTAATTGGAGCCTGATTATTCCAAATTCACGTCATGTAGAGCCTCATTTGGGGATAGCGCTCTTTATCAAGAATTTCCTCATATTCAAGACTCGAATATGAACTCGAAATTCCTTATTAAGGGAGGAACAAATTCATCCACTGGACCACATCTATTATGGTACCAAAAGAGACTTGAATTGTAGTTGGGGATCATTTTACTTTCCCTCACATACAATATTATTATATCAACAAATTATTATTTAACCAATTAACACAAGCAATGGGGATTAGGGATCTAAGCTCATAATAATGTTTAAGCATCTTTTTTTAAAAAAAATAATTAATATATCAAACTCTTCAAAGAGACTCGCACCAAAGATATGGATTAGTTTGACAGCCACCTAATTCCCCCAATTTCAATTTGGTGAAATTCTTGCGATATATCATTTTTTCGCAGCAATACATTTTATTTTATTTTCCCAAAATATTGTAAACGTAGATATTTCATAATTGAGCTTGTGAAGAATTTCATTTTTTTCCTTAAATAAATATATTTTTAGGAAAAAATGGCCCCCAAAAAGGTTGAGCCGCAAATCATTGTTAAGTTATTTTAAATCGATCTTGTATATGTCACTCGTATGATATGATATCCACTTGCTAATATCGCTCTGTTCATTTTTCTCTATGAGGATTTTTCTGTTTCTTTTATTGCATCGATCGAGACTATTAAAATATAAAACAAAACTAATATGAAAATACATGTGAAACCATGTGCTAATTAATATCACAACATATGAAAAACGTAAGACCATCACATGAAATTAATTGCCAAACATTGACAAAAAGTAATCAATCCTTTTTAGATAAATATATTTTTCAGCATAACTTAGATCTACTCATGAATCCACCTAAATAAAGGAAAATTCTATTAGGAGTATAGGTCCGAATGAGAAACTTTCACATATAGCAAATATAAAAATTATATTTATATGTTATAGCTATAGTTTGTATAATTGCGCTCCATAACAAATTTTATGTTTGCTATAGAACTTTTGATTTGTATAATTCGCTACAAACATTCAATTTTATACAAATTGTTCAGTTTTGTATAAATTCAGTTATACATGGTAATTTGTATAATAAGATCTGTATTTGTATAATTATAAGTGTATAGGACGAAAATATATGTATTTGTATTTGTATATACATTTTTCTCTTGCTTTATACAAACACAAACACATTTTATACCGAAATGTATAAAATGGTTAATTGTATACCAAATCAGATGGCAAAAAAAGGGATGTTTGCTGCGAATTACAATTAAAATAAACTATGGCTATAACATTTAATTTGAATTAATAGTTTTCTATTTCATACAATTTTCCCTAAAGGAATTGACTATTGCTTGTTGGAGTTAATAACTTTGATGGTCACTCAACTATCAATTCTTTTCACAAAAAATCACTCAATTTTCATTTTTAACTCAAAACTCACTCAACTATGACTTCTTTGCACAGAAACAATTAAATAGGTTGAGTGACTTTTATGTGCAAAGAAGTCATAATTGGGTGACTTTTGAGTTGAAAATGAAAGTTAAGTGACTTTCTGTGAAAAGAATTGATAGTTGACCATCAAAAGTTAGGGATATCTGAAAAATATTTAACTTTGGTCTAATTTGTTGTTGCGATACTAAACTTTCACAAAATAGACCTAGATAGAAATGTAAAGAGTAAAGACAATAAATGTGATAGAGTACACTAGTTCTTCCTATTAAATTGTCGATGTTTTAGCAAGTTAAATAATTCCTTTGCGTGTATAACTCTTTAAAATGTGGTGCCAAATTGAAAGAAGAAGCATATTCTAAGTAAAACAATGTGAATGAGAAAAATTAGTACCCAAAGCACATCATCACTTCAAGTGAAGATTCTAGTAGTATTTAACAATGATTAATTAATATGCATTATTGTCTTATTGAATTATTATAAATTTATATAATTTGATGTAAATCTTCGAGGATAGTAACATATTTAATCTTTTTAATAAGAGTAAATTAAACGAGGAACCAATTGGAGGGAAAACAATTGATTCCCAACTCTTCCATAAAAGCAATAAAATAAGCCAAGATGATTACAAAATTGACAATTCATCATGGATGGAGCCAATCAAGTCAAAAGTAAGTGTTCCAAAGCCCATTCTTCTATTGGGTAATAATAATAATAATAATAATGGTATTTAAAATATTACTATATACAAACATCCAATAAAATCAGGCATACAAAACCTTTAAGGATGATTAATTTAATTGAACAAGTGATCTCACGAATAAAAGATTCTAGGTTTGAGAACACCCGTATATTTTTTTTTATGAGTAGAACTTATCATATGGATTTACCTAATATGATTTATATTTCTGGTGTAGTTATGAATTATATTACTTTAGAAATGACATTTATCTTATGTAGGCCTAAAAGGTAATAATATAAAAATAAATGGACCGTCATTTTCTCGCTGGTATCTTCTGCTTGGATTCTCTTTCCAATGCACATTTTATTACTATATTTTATTTATATTATAGTATATATATAGTATAATAAAACCAGAAATATATGGAAGACTTACACACTAATTCGACTTTTTTGTCCTTTCTTTGAAAAATAACCTCACCGTTCTTTCGCTTTAAAAATTAAATATAATCATTTGTCATTTATATAGAGCATTTATACAACTTATAAAAATTTAATAACTAATTAATATATAAGGTAAAAATATATATTTCTTAATTATGATTCAATGCTAAAAATCTGAAATTAAATGCATAAATTATTATTTTCATCGATCCATTTTACACAATAAAAAAGATTCTTGACTTATATTAGAGTTCTATTCCTTTTTAAAGTCTACTATAATAATGTGTTATATTCAGACTACGTATCTTCATTTATTCATTTTATTATCAAAGTTCATAGTCTAGTGAATTATATTCCCACTTTGCCTTTGCCTTTGCCTTTTCCTTATCCCCAAACAATTTTTTTTTCTTTCTTTTTCTTTTAGTAACCCCTTCAATATTTTTCTAGTTAAGACCCCCCCTAAACAAATCCCCACTGAATTATTACATATTGACTTGGTAGTACGCAACCTCTTCCTTATCTTTAAACATAATTAAGTGGTTTTCCATAAGTGGAGGGTTAATTATAACTAACATTTATTAATTTACTTTTTTTTATCAGTAACGTGAGTAGACAAAGTTTTATTCATTATTCCTACTATTATTACTTTAAATATGTTTAATTCTATAATTTTACTAATATCAATACCAATCAAACTCCTCAACCAACAAGCCACTTTATAAGGTTCCTAACATACCAATGCTATTTATCGGTTAATTGACTACTAAACTTTCATCTTATTGATAAGGTATTTATTTCATCACCTTATAATTCCGTCCCTGTTCACACTTTGACCTGTAGAGATTCCAATAAATTCATGTATATAAAGAATCCTAAATAGGCTGTGAGAGAATCTTCTATTCACATCATTTTACACTTTTGCGGTCAATAGAGACTCCATACATACCTTCATTTGTCACTTGATAAGGTCAGGCCTCTTTAATTGATTTATTATTTCAATGTATGTAATGTTCATCTCTTTTATTTCAGCCAATTGAATTGCTATAAGGTTTTATTATAGTACCTCTGTTATTGGCTCTTTATAAATTTCAATTCTGTTTTATAATTTGTTCTTTATTTAAAGTGGCAAATATATGATACTGTAGTGCAGTTACAAAGAAGCAGCCATGACTAATGCTATTTCAAGTAGAAGTCCAAGTCCTACAAGGCTTGAGGTTTGTTTCAAATTTTGTTAGTTTGTTCACAAATTGAAGAAGTTATTGAAAATTTGTTGTGGCTGAAATTATGATGTATGGTGAAATTTTCAGGGGAAATTTATGGGTATTTTTGTTTGTTGGATTTTGGGACTTGGGTCACTTGTTTCTTGGAACAGTTTATTGAGCATAGGAGATTACTACTATGCATTGTTTCCAGTAAGTTTTCCTTGACAACTTCTAATGTATTTTTAGTTTCAATTTTATTACTGTGCTTGGGATCGAGGCATAGTTTTGTGCTGACTTGTTTAATTTGGTATGTAAATTAAAGGATTATCATCCTTCAAGGGTACTCACACTAGTGTATCAGCCATTTGCACTTGGAACAATGGCAATTCTTGCGTATAATGAGGCAAAAGTTGATACAAGAAAGCGCAACTTAGCTGGATATATTCTTTTTACCTTAAGTACAGTCGCACTTATAGTGGTATGTTATGCTTTAGTTAATTTCTTGGTGTTTTTATGTAGTCATTTTTTGGTCATTGTTTTTTAAAATCTGTTGTTGTTTTTACTTCTTTCCAGTTGGATTTGGCAACGTCCGGTACGGGTGGAATAGGAAATTACATTGGTATATGTTTCATAGTAGGATGTTTTGGAGTTGCAGATGCTCATGTTCAAGGTGGAATGGTTGGAGATTTAGCTTTCATGTGCCCTGAGTTTATGCAAGTGCGTCGCAGTAACATTTTTAATTTTTGTTTTGCTATATGAAACTTTGAATTACTGACTCATGAATTATGCAGTCGTTTTTTGGTGGTCTTGCTGCATCTGGTGCACTTACCTCTGGTTTAAGGCTAATAACCAAGGCAGCTTTTGGAAACAGTAACCATGGCTTTCGCAAAGGAGTTAGTAAGTAATTCTGATCTCATTATTGAAAATTAAATAAAAAAACAGTTCCATTGTTGCGCAGAAACTTATAATTAATTGTTGATTTTCGCAGTGTTATTTCTTGCCATCTCCGCATTCTTTGAATTCCTATGCATCCTTCTATATGCATTCATATTCCCTAAGCTACCAATTGTGAAGCACTACCGTTCAAAGGCAGCTGCAGAAGGATCAACAACTGTTGCAGCTGACTTAGCTGCTGCAGGCATTGGAATTCAACCGATGGAAAAAGTAGGCAATTTTTTCTCCTCAACTAACAACTGTTATAAGTCATATTCATGAACATAAATTTGATATGTTTCTGTTTACTGAACAGGCTAATAACGATGCTAAGCAATCAGAACGTCTGACCACCAAACAATTGCTTCTCAAGAACATTGATTATGAATTGAACTTGTATTTGATTTATGTCCTCACTTTATCAATTTTCCCCGGATTCTTGTATGAAAACACTGGTACCCACCAACTGGGATCATGGTAAGTGTGCATAGCCAACTTGATTTCATGGAGTTCCTAACCAATGTAAATAAGACCTGCTAGTTGAATTACTGATAATATCTTCTTCTTTTTTTAAATTTCAGGTATCCTCTAGTTCTGATAGCAATGTACAATGTTTGGGATCTGATAGGAAGATACGTTCCACTGATTAAGAAAATCGAGCTTAAATCACGAAAGGGCCTCATGATCGCGACCCTTTCTCGTTTCTTGTTGATTCCTTGCTTCTATTTCACTGCAAAATATGGTGATCAAGGCTGGATGATATTTCTCGTATCCTTCTTGGGACTCACAAATGGTTACCTCACTGTTTGTGTCATGACAGCTGCACCTAAAGGATACAAGGTTTGTGAAATTTTAATTTCAGAATCTATACAAATTGTCATTTTATAATCATATGAAGAGTAAGTATCACATCATATTTTAACACTTAACTTTGAATTTTGTAGGGTCCTGAGGCAAATGCATTGGGTAACTTGCTAGTGTTATTCCTACTAGCTGGAATATTTTCCGGTGTTGCTTTAGATTGGTTGTGGATTATTGGTAATGGAAAATTCTGAGGAGTACTCAAGATTGGTATGTGACAGAACAATAGATAACATGTCATTTTAGTTGGGGATGAACATATAGTTCTGGTTTCAAATATGCATTTTGTGTGAATGTTTTGCTTTTTTTTCTCAACTTTCAACTTCTAGGAAATTAGTGGAGTACAGAGAATGATGAAATCTACATATGTGATCATTAAACTTCTTTCTGGATTGCAAAGAATGATGCAGATTTGTAAAGTTCAATTCACACACAGACACAAAAAAGGGTTATCTTGTTTTAAGTTCTGAATTCTGATGTACATTCTGGTTGTCAATCAGATAGTACAGTTGTTCAAGTTTTGGTGTACTGATTTTGAGCAGTCATGTAATGAAAAAATCACTTCCAAATTTTCCGCGGCAATGAAGTTATATAACTTAATCCAACTTTTTAGTCGAAAAATAAACTTTTCAGTACCTAAAAGGATTTTGTGACATGTCACTTCGCGCAATAACTTTTGAATTTCTAAAAAGGCAGGCCAACCTACGAAATTTTGTGAAAAGAAAATATCAAAATTTGAGAAAATAATTGCATTAAGAGTATCAGAAATTACAAAAAGTGGACTTTCAAATGTGAGTTACGTTATTTAAAAAAAACAACATAACTATGAGATTAAATATAACCTAAAAGTATAAAACCAAAAAGAGATTCTACTATAAACCAGGTAGTGAGGATGAAAAAAAGCATAAGCTACCTTGTTCGTGCTCCCGTCTTTTCCACTGCCAAATTCGATGAATGCGTGCCCCTTCAATTAAAGGCGGATAGGGTACTGAGCCAACCTTTTAAATATGAATAATTTTTCAAAAATGCTCGAGGGACTATATTAAATCTACCCCAAACATAAGGACCATTTTTACCATTTTCTCCAAAATTTAGTAACAAAAATAACTTGGCGCGCAGATGCAAACCCTAGTCCGAGCTCGTCTCTCCCTTACCTCTGTGCTCGAGTTTCTCGCCGAGTTGGTACGTAATCACGCTCACTATTAGCTCTTTCAATAGCATAATGTTGCATGTTACCAGTCACTCTGTTGTGTTGGTATATATATACATGTCTTTTTTTAGTAGTTCTATTTCTGTATGTTGAACCTTACATGAAAACTAAGGTTATTATCTGTAAGTTTGTTTTGTAACTTATAAGGCATTTTGTTGCAACTGACAGAAGGACCTCATGAAAAAATTGGAGGTAGTGCTGGTTTTCATACTCATATTTTACTCCATTTTTGGCCGTAGATTTGAAGTTGAAACTTGAAAAATCGAGTTTCTAAAGTTGTGGTTTCTGGAACTTGAAGTTGAGTTTGGACAAGCATTTGACACCTAAATTGAGGGCTTAAGTGTGCCTCAAGCGAGTCTTTTACAACACTTGTTGTATCCAGGGTTTTTTATTTGTGTTAAGTGTTGACACATTTCATGTGTTTGGCTCTAATTTCTATTAGCTATGTGGTATCAGTCTTATGAGGACATGTCAAATTATATATTTTCTTTGCATTTCACATATGAAGTTCGACATGCTTTTCTTGTGTTCTCTTCCGTACTATTCCTACACAAGTTCATCATGACAACCTTAGTGTTTAATGACATATGCTATCTGTTTATCCTCTGAAAATTTAGTCTCCAGGTTATAGGCAAAAGACTTGGCATATTAAGCTCAATAAGTCGATGAGGGTGTCTTCTTGATAATTCAGCAGATGTTGCTCATATGACCAATTCACCCAAGGCATTGCAGCTATTATTTGTTGCAAATATACAGTTATTTGGTAGCTAACGGTACTGACTTCTAAGGTTATAAATTAATATTTTAAGAAACTATTGATGTGTGCGAGTAAGATTCAAGATTCTTCCGTGTACTTTTTTTCCTTTAATTTAGTCCAAATGTCTTTCTAGGGATGGTTGAGAAAGATGAAAATATTACAGCTGGTAGGAAAATGTACTCTGGATATTGTTTTAGAGAGCTGTGTTTACCCATTACATCAGACTTTGTAGACAACTTCATCTACTTAACTTCTGGAATGAATCTCTTACCCCAACTGCTTAAATGTTACTATACACTTTTATGTTAGATTCAAAAAGAGAATGAACATCATCTGTAAAGCTGGAAAAGTTAATAGAAACATACATTTCTTTCCTTACGGTGAAACTTTCTCTATTTGGCTTGTATAGTTTGCCTTGGGTTACTACTTGGGGGTTTGGGAAGTTGATTTTAGTGTTTGACTAACCAAATTTACATTTTTTCTTATCACTGGAATAGGACATAGAGAAATTGATGATATTAGAAGCCTTCAACATATTGGTTTCCTCATGGCTGAAACAGAATATATAACCATTGATTTTATTGAAGGTCAGCAACATATTAACTTAGACACATGCAAATAATAAATATTTCAGTTCTAGTCTACGATATACGAAATTTAGTTCCCTAAAGTTGCTTGCTTCTTTTGTTTGTTTTTTCTCTTATTTTTTTTCTTTTCATTTGATAGTCCCTTCATGCCCATTGCGTTCAAATATTGTGAAGTTGTTAGAGGTGGAACAGAGAAGGAAAGCAATGGGACTTGGAACTACAAGCACTCAAGGTTGTATCTAAACTAAAGCAGCATACCCTCTTTCTTTTCGCATTGACAGGAGGAATTAGCATCTACTTAACCACCAAAATACTGTCTGCTGTGGCCTTTGCCATCTCTATTCTATTGATGTGTTCATTTTTGGCTGATTCGTTCATTCGCATCGGCATGGCAAAATCAAGAATTACAACAATGAATATGCTCATCATGGATTTGATGCAAAGATATAAAGATTTAAGAGAAGAAACAAGAAATCTAATGGAATTTGAACGAAGCAAGAAAGGAAGGCTAGCTAATGTTGTGGATAACAGTGAAGGTCCTGTCATGGACATGGACTCTTTTATTGCCAGAACTAAGACCATTTATGATGACGCCACAGATTTTTCTGACTTTGAGAACGCTTACCATAAGATGATCTATGTGTCTTGGGGGATCGGAGGTATCTTCATTCCTGCTGTGCTGTTCATATCATTTTGTAACTATTACTACGGTGAGTACTTTTCTTTGTTTTCTATGATTTATTTTTACCAAATGTACAGAAAAAGTTCCACACTTCTACTTAATGAATTCAAAGTCTATTACGGGATTAAAAAAAAAGAAAGAATTTGTAGTCTATCTAGGTGCATGGTAAAGCATGATCTTGTAGAAATATAGGTCTTTTTATGCTATAACCATCTGTTGATTTATCAATTACAGGACAAGATTCTCCGTCTCCTGACAAGCTGTCTTTTGCTGTTCAAGTTGTGCATCAGTTCTAGTCGTAGTGGCAGCAGATCAGCATTTCCAATAGACGAGAGATATAAATACTTTTGTGGTGGCAGTGATCTTTGATTTTGGCTGAAAAATGCAAAACATTATCATATCAATTGCTGTTGGATATTGGGGTTGACTTATCAGCCTGATTCTCGACTGTAATTACTAATTGTTTATGATTTTGCCTGCTGCTGTTGTAAATAAACGTCCCCAACTCCCGAAAACCATACACGTTGAAATCACTAATATGTTCACCGCTAATTTGCAATATCTTTCCTTGTTCATTTTCTTCAGTGTCTGTTGTGTAGCTCGTCTGGCTAAAGTTTCAGTGATTAGTTTGCACAATTCTTTATCATTTATTGATGGAACTCTTACAGGTTCTACTGTACTTCCTCATCTCAGGTCATTTATATGTAGGAAATTTTATATTATATAGTAAACACGTGCTATATATATTTTACTATTCAGAGCTATATTTTTTAAAAATTACATTTTATAACTATACTTGGATCCTCTCTAGCATCTCCCCTTTCTCCCCGAATATGTTGATAACAAGTCTTACTCTCGTTGTTTGATCTAGTGCCTAGCAATTGAGAGACTATGCTTCACAAATAGGATCATTTGATGCTCTGTTTAAGTTTTGTCCCAATCTAAGTAAGTTTTGAGGAAATAAATGTGGCATTTTGGTATTCGTTTTTTTTAGACAAAATGAATGACATATTTTATATCTTTCATAACTTTGACGCTAAAATTGAGGACTTCTAAACTTTTATTTTGGTGAAATAGTAAAGGATACTTCATCAATTTTTAAGATTTATGGTATATTTACCCAATTGTAAACTCGGGATTACCGAGTCGAGAGAATATTTTGCCAGTAGACCTAGGGATGATACGATATGATAAATACTGAATTACTATATCGTATTGAAATTTTTGAAATTGTAATTTTTGGTATTATGATATTTGGTATGGTATATGGTATACATTTTAATTTTTTTGGTATTGATATGGTATTTGATATTTAGAAACAACATATCAAAATATCGAAATATAAACTAAATGTTTAGAAGTTAAAACTTTGACTACTCTATTTTTATTGAAATGTAATTTGATTGACAAAAGGAGTTGTTTGTACTTTCTTTTGAATACTAGATAATGTTGCCCGTGCTATGCACGGGCCCAATAATATAAATTGTATATTTTGGGGCTAATAACTGAGTTTTTGAAGCGATTGTTTGCGTGGATAAAGGAATAAGTTTTTTTTATCACAAACCTGTACTTTGTTTGACGCTATTTAAGGCATAATAAGACTACCCACATACAACATTTTTGAAATATTTTATGTTGTCAATTATCATGATTTATAGTATTT